CTTGAGCCTAGGGGGAGCTGGAAGGTGGGGCTTGTGCTAGGGTTATAGGATGGAATGAGCAAGGCTTCATCCCTCTACAACATCCTGCATGAATTATAGGCTCTGACCCTGTCTTCTCTCAGCTCTTAACTTTGCTGAGACTTGAGAATCCTGAAGGTCTTGGTTCCAGCTCATCTCTCTACCCCCAGGGGCTGGGCCCCCAACCCTTAGGCACAGAATCACCATTCAGAGGAGGGACACATTCATGCTTCTTCCCATCTGGCTTTTCTGCATCCTGCTAGCAGTGGATACACTCTGCTAAGTGCTGAGTCCTATCAGAGGAATAGATTCCTGCCCCCACCTCCTGGTTTGATGGTATGTTAAGCCATCTTGGGTTTCCTTAGGAAACAGTGAGGCGGGGGCATCCCATAGTCCCCCATACCACACCATGAGGAAGCCACAGCACTTCCTGCCCTTACTCTCTCCTCTGTGGTAGGTCAGAAAGTGGGACCACAGAGGTGCCAACTTCTGAGAGAAATGAGGTGTCCAAAACAGAGTTCCCTCCCATCCACTGAGGGCAGCCTCTTTGTCTTTCTGCTTCCCAGTTCTCTCCTCCAAACCCCAAAACTCCCTAGTCCCTGGCTGAACACTAGGATGCCATACCTGTTACCAGGTGATCACCAACTTCAACTTTTTTTTCTGCCCACCTGGGCTCACATGCTGCTACCGACTCCTTAGGCTCTAATAAAAAACCTTGCCATGGCAACTTCCAGAATTCCTTTTTGTCTCCGGCTTTGGCTCTATGTATCAGCCCCTCCCCCCAGCCATGATCCTCCCCAGTTCCTCATTCACCCCCTTAGGTATTTGCCCTGCTCTCTTAATTGTAGAAAAAACATTCTTCTCGTGATACACAGAGTCCCTCCACATTACTGTCACCTTGTCTCTACTTACCACCAGTGAAACGTCTGTGCTTTTAGCCAAGGCCAACCCCTCAACCTGTGACTCACTCCTATTATGTTACTTCTGCACCATAACATTGCTCTAGCAGTTCTCCCTTTCTCTCCTCCATCATCGGTTTATTCCTCTTGACTGGATCTTTTCCATCAACATCCAACATGCTACATCTCCTACCTTTAAAAAGCCCTCTTGATGCTCTCTCATTTTCTGCACCTCTGTGGAACAAACCTCCCTAAAGTAGTTGATTACACTTGCTATCACCAATTGCTCTTCCTCTCTCTCTAATCCACTCCCGTCACGCTTTTACCTCCACTTCTCACCTGAGTCTATTCTTCTCAAGGCCATGAATGATCTTTGTGTTGTTAAATCTAATGATCAACTCTGAGTCCTCATCTTACTTGGAGGATTGGCATCTTTTCATGCAGTTGATCACTTTCTCCTTGAAATACTTTCCTCTCTTGCCTTCCAGTATGCCACACTCTCCTGGTTTTCCTCCTACCTCACTGGCTGCTACTTCTCAGTCTCTGCTTATTGGTTCCTACTTTTTCCTCCAAATTCTTAATGTTGAGGTGTCCCAGAGCCTGTCTTTAGATCTTCCCTTCATTTACAATCATTGCCTTGGTGATCTTATCCAGTCTCATAGTTTTATGTATCTATCTTTCTCCCTTCCTTCCTTCCTTCCTTCCTTCCCTCCCTCCCTTTCTTTCTTCCTTCCTTCCTTCCTTTCTTCCTTCTTGTCTTTCTTTCTTCTCCTCCTCTTCCTCCTTCATATTCATGTTCATTGTCATCATCATCATCATCATTCAATCTTTTTTTTTTTTTTTTTTTTTTTTTTGCGGTACGCTGGCCTCTCCCTGTTGTGGCCTCTCCCGTTGCGGAGCACAGGCTCCGGACGCGCAGGCTCAGCGGCCATGGCTCACGGGCCCAGCCGCTCCGCAGCATGTGGGATCCTCCCGGACCGGGGCACAAACCAGTGTCCCCCGCATCGGCAGGCAGACTCTCAACCACTGCGCCACCAGGGAAGCCCTTTTCTACTTTTTGATGGTCTGGGAATGTGTAGCTAATTTCTTGGAGTTATATTGAGGTGTGAGGCCCTTCCTTTTGATGTGAGTTATGTTTAGCTGCTGGACAACTGTCCCTTCCCTCTCTCTCCCTCTTCACCTCTTCAGAAATGGCTTTCAGCTTACCAGGCATAGTTTGTCTATTTCTTGATCGAATACTGCTGTTTGCCTGCAGTGGTTGGTTCCTTTGCTAGGATTTTTTTAATTGAGCTTTGAAATGGCTGTATATTTTAAACTTACCTTTGTCTTATTTTTCGTCCACGCATCTCTTGGTTTGTATTTTTGTCCTGCCTAGGAGCCCGGTTGCTGCCCCAGCACATTTACAATTTGGAAATGTTTAATTGATGGAGGAAGTAGGACCTAGAGCTCAGAATCATAAATGCTGACTTTGACCAGAGAACCTCCTAGTATATCAGCTAGGCCATCTCTTCTTCCTTACTTTGTCTAGTAATTTTCTTTTTCCTATCCATTTTAAGAAGTTCTGCATTTGCTTTTTTAAAAAATGAGGATAGCCGTGTATTCAACTAAATAAGGAAACAAAGAAAAAGTCTTCTATCGTAAGGCTTTGAAGTCCTCAACTTGTCATTTAATTGTTACTAAAGCCCTCCATGGATGCAGAAATGCTGTCTTCAGATAGGGTAGGGGTTGCACCCTGGATCTGCGTGTTTGCTGTTTGAGAGGATGCCCGGATGCCAAACTAGAAAAATCCTGTGAAAGAAGTAAAGGATTTCACAGATGTTAGGAGTTAGGTGTGCAGACCCTAAAAAAATGTTAAAGGTAGAGCTTGTTACATTGGCAAAGAAAAAGGTTTTACCAGAAGTAGATGAATTATATACCTGAGGACATTTTTGTCCCTGAAATCTTAGAATAATAAGGCTCTGGTTTTCTTTCTTTTTTTTTTTTTTTTTTTTTGGGGTACGTGGGCCTCTCACTGCTGTGGCCTCTCCCGTTGCGGAGCACAGGCTCTGGACACGCAGGCCCAGCGGCCATGGCTCACGGGCCCAGCCACTCCACGGCATGTGGGATCCTCCCGGACCGGGGCACGAACCCGCGTCCCCTGCATCGGCAGGCGGACTCTCGATCACTGCGCCACCAGGGAAGCCCATCATTCGATCTTAATCTATCTTTCTATCTAGTCTTCTACAGCCAGGACCTTCCCTGAGGACCATCAAACTTCTGTGCTGAGAACAGACTGTTGGAAGTATGGTCTCAGGCAGAAGCTGGGAGATTAGTTATGATGCTACTGCAGTAATCATAGCAGCAGAGTGAGCGAGAGACATCGTCATGTTCCAAATTCATTTCAGAAGGTAGAGACAACAGGATGGACTGGATATGGACAGTTAGGGAAACAATATCAAGGATGACACCAATGCTTTTGTCCTGAACAACTAGAAAGGTGGAGCTGCCATTAAGTGATGTTGTGAAGACTGCGACTGGAGCATATTTCCTATGTGCAATCAGATGATGGCTTGGAGCAGGGAATCAGGAGTTCACTGTTCTGTAGTTTGAGGTGAATATTGGACATTCAAGTATATGTGTTGATTAGACAGTTTGGGCATGTGAGACTATCCCATGCCATCATGAGCTCCATTGTGCAAGTCCTGTGTCTTTGTCATATTAGCTATGGTCCCTTGCATATAGTAAGTATTTTAACTGAGTGTAAGATATTTCTCAAAATTATTTTTTAAATTCTTTTTGGTCCAGTTTTGAGATATAATTGACATACAGCACTGTATAAGTTTAAGGTGTACAGCATAATCAAGGTTATTTTTATTGTGACCTGAGGTCAGTACCCCAGTAATCGTGTGTCAGCATTCCCTATTCCATAGCACTCATCACACTAATGTAATGACTTGTCTGCTTCCTAAGCCCAGACTTTCAATTCAAGTACTATTAAGGTATTATTATGCCACCACTATCCTAAGCCCTGGGGATATGAGACACTATTGTATTATTTAGGCAAGAATGGATGAGTAATCTAACAAGCAGAGGCAGTAAACACAGAAAAAAGGGGGCAAAGTTGAGATATATCAACATTAGAACACAGTCACTGACTTCATGTTTGAGCTGAGCAAAAACACAGATTTATAGTTATACCAATTCCTGACACTGGAAAACAGTTTTGTGGGGTTGAGGGTGAGTATTCAGAAATTTTAAATTAATATGCATTGCCTTTGAAAACAAGGCTCAACTCACTGCTCTTCATCACACTATGGACAACAGACCAAAACGCAGTTTATTCATCTCCATCCCCTAAAAGCACTTGGGTATTGGGTTGGCTTCCTCGCTCAAGGTTCTTTAGAGTGCATAGCTAACCAGCCTTTTCTCTTATCATGCCCTCTTCAGGAACATGTCAACTTCTACCCCAGGTATTCAGACCTCCATCTACATGCTCTCCCTCCCTGCTTCTCTCCCTGCCTACCCTTGGGAGTGGGGACCAGCCCCTCTCCATGTTCTACTGTGATCTTCATTCCCAGTGTCATTCAGTCCATGCAGCTGATAGACAGTGGAAGTGGGACAGAGGCAAGAGAGCTACAGCAGCCTCCCAAGTGAGTTCTCCAGAAAGATCTAACCAATAACCAACAGGGAGCAGAGAGGGGAGATTCTATCATTTGCTTTTGACTGTTGTCATATTACCTATAGGCTGTTGATAAACACAAAGCACCTGCTCAAGGGTGGAACACTGGCACTCTCGTAAAAACCTCCCTTCCAGAGTGCGGGCACATATAGAAGTCATCAGTGAATTTTGCCTGTGAGATTCCTGGCCACTCCTCCTTGACAATTCTAGCCTTATGTCCACATTGCTCCTCTGGGCCGAAGGACACCATGATAAAATTCAATCCTGACCTTTACCTTCAATGTACCTTAGACAAGGGCCTTCCTTCTCTGTTCAAGTCCCTTTATCCGTAGTCCGGGGTGGGGGTGGGGTGGAATGCTACCCAGCTTAAGTGTGGGTTAAAGCCCCTTCCCTAGATAGGAGGGACATTTACCTCCCTTATGCCTTCCCTGAACACACCGCAGTGGAGAGAAGGAGCAGACGCACACCACTCTACTTAGAGATATACAGTGTATTTTTGTATAATGAAAATGACAGTAGCAGTCCTCTTCAAGGAATGCTGACGTTGGAGAGACTACAAAGTCTCTTGACTGAGCTGGGTCTTCTTGAGCAGACCAGTGCTTCCCTCCGAGGTGAGAGTTGGGAATTAGGGTGGGTTCCCTGGTTGGGTGACACAAGCCACTCAAGGACAGTGCCGAGGGCGGCGGCAGGGGATGCCCGGGACTGAGGCAGAGTGGAGTTGATGGGAGCGGGGGCGGTGCCGGAGCTTACTGTCTGGGGAGCGGGGCACATCCAAGAACGCCAAGCCCATCTGCTTCCCAGTGGGCGCAAATTGGGCCTTAGGGTCCCCTCTTGTCTTCTCCGTCTTAGTTTGCCCCTTGGGACTTTTGGCTGAAGCCAGGCTCTTTCCCACATTTTCTTTTCTGGTGTTGGCCACTTTCTCAGATGTGGAGGACATGGATTCCTCATGCCCTTTGCCTTTTGTCTTGGGGTTAATAAAGTGCAGAAAAGATTTCATCTTATTTCTCCAGCCAGATTCTGGAAAGCTGGGCCTCTTGTGAGTACGGCCTTGCATCACCTGCCCCTGAAAAACCTGACCTTGTAAAGTTTGGCCCTGCAACGGCTTACCCGGAGTGAGCTGGCCTAGGAAAGGCTGGCCCTGTGACACCTGGGGCACCACAGGCTGGGCATTCTCAGGAACCCTTGCTGGTTTGAGGATGACATTGAGCTTGGCTTGACTCTCTTGCAGGTCATTCTTCTCAGAGTCTTTCCCCCCAGGGACTCCAGGAGGTAGCTCTGGGGGTTTAAGCTGAGGGCGATGCTGCGGACTGTGTTGACAGGGAGCATCAGGGTGAAAGCGATGTCTCCGTCTCCAGGGGCTGCAGGGTGTTCCATTCAGAAGCATCCCTTCTGGCCTCTGGGCTTCAGCAGAGTGGCTTTTCTCTCTTGTGGAGGAGACTGCAAACCCGGCATCCCCTTCTCTGTGGTCCCCGGCCGATTTGGGTTTGCCTGGCTCCTCTCTCTTTTCTGCCAGTGTGGGTACTTGGGCTGAGTCCTTGCTCTTGTCAGGGCTTTGGGGCTCAGGGCTCCAGGGCTCCTTCAGGTTGTGGTTGTTCACACTGGCCTCCAGCTGACCACAAAGCACCTGGGCCTCTGTCAGGTCCCCACTGGGTTGCGAGATATTGGAGGCCCAGTGGACAGAACCGTGGGATACTGCACTGGAACTGGGTTGCTTCTGTTTCTGATACACTGCCTTCAACTCAGTGGCCAGCTGTTCTTTGGAATAGAGGCATTCTGGATCTGGGGCATGTGGCATATCTCGTGGGATACGGAGTTCCTGAAGCAGTGTGTTTCCTTGGTTGTTTAGACTCCCAAGAGACTCCTGTGTGCATATGTTCTCGGAGGCTGCTACACTTTGTTTCCTGGACTTCCTTGCCGTTATGGGAATTCCCAGTTGTATCTCTAGCATCTTCTTTCTCAGATGGAAATTTAGTTTGGCCAATTTTTGTTCTCCAAGTGAGGAGGGCCTCGCAGGCTCTGTCTGACTTTCTAGAGGCACCATCTCAATTACTTCTTCCACCTGCACTTCAGCCTGGAATTCATCTGCAATGTCTGCACAAGCCTTGTTGGCATCTTGAAAGACTGACCCAGGACTTAGACCCTGCTCTTCAGGTGAGGTCATCTGAGTCAGAGGTTCTGTTGGGAATTCGATAGGCCCAGGTACCATCTCTGTGATCATAGCTTGGGAAGTGATTGCTGGGGCCATGACCCTAGAGAGAGCCACATAATAAAGAGCCGGCAGCCCTGACAAGAAGGCCAGATACTTGTGCCGTAAAGTTGTCTCCAGTTTCTCAATGGCTCCCTCGGACAGGGCTCGGGGCAGCTTAGGATGTTCAATGACAGCATCTGGTGAGGTTTGTTGCTGTTGATCAAGGGCCGTCGGCATCCAGGGTATAATTTTCTGTTGTAGGTCCGGGACACTTGCTGCCTGTAGTTCCAGGGGCTTGCTTTCTGGGATGCAGGTGAAGGGAGCCACTTCCAGGCCCCCAGGAATTATGCACTCCCAAGAGCTATATACACAGGCAGGGACATTGCCCTGGTGAATCTGCCCACATTTGGAGTCGATATGGCTCTGCAATATTGCCTTGGCCTGGTCAAACAAGTGTGGCATGGGGACTGTCACTGGGTCCACAATGGGTGAGAGTGGGTCATCAGCCCCAGCGGCCTCTAGAGATGGAGGCCAGGGGCCATTCACACTGTCTAGGGATGTGCTGCTCCGGGACACAGTCTGCTGATTAGTGGGGGACAGGAGCAATTGAATGGACTGTTGGATCTTCTGCAGCAGGCCCCAGCAGTGGTGAATCAACTGTCTCTGGTGGCGGAATTCCAGCTGTCTCCTGGCATGCTGCTGTGGGAAGAGTAGTTCTCGTGTGAGGACTGAGATGGGATGCCCTGGCCAGGAAGTTTTCACAGTCTCAGAAGACTGGGCTTTGTCACAGGGCTTATACTGCACAGGGCTCTGGGTGTGTTGATCTCTCTGGGAAACATCTGGCCAGTCCCACTGAAGCTGGAGCTGCCTCTGCAGCAGGTGCCACTCCAAGGCTTCATACTCATCCAGGGTCAGAAATGGGACACTGATCTGAGCTTGTTGGTTGTCAGATGGAGTAACCCAATTTTGAGAAGACAGAAAAGGGGGTGGAGCTGACTGGGGTGGAGCTTTAGGCAGCAGAGGGAGGAAGGAGAGTTCCTTGAAGAGAAAAGGATCCCTCAAGCGGGGCTTGGACATGCTCTCATTCATGGAGAGGCCTTGAGAACCCAAGAAGGCGTCAACCAGGGACTCACTGTGCAGAGAAGGAAGACCACAGAATAGCTGGCTATATTTTGGCTGCACATGGCCCACTGAGTCATTAGCCTGCTGCCCAGGCATTAGATAAAGGCCACTTAATTCTTTAAGGGCTGAAGAGGGCAAGGCAAGAGCCATATGGTTTGGGATTTGCTGGTAGCAGTGTATTTGTTCTGGGTCCATGATGGACCATTCAGAAACCCAGAAGGCCTGGGTAGGCTGGCCAGCCATACATGGACCCAAGTTCTGGTATGAAATGGTCCCAAATCTCTCAACAGAGAACTGAGAAGTATCATTCTGAATGAAAGAAACTGGTTGCTTATATACAGGTTGGTAAAATAATGGTGGATTTGGCATAAGCTGCCTCAGAGACTCTTCCACACGTCTGGGGAGCCCCCACCTCTGGAAATGCATCCATTTTTTTACATGTAGCTCAAGCCGCCTCAGGACTTCAGGACTCAGGAATGGCAGGTGGGCAGGGAGGACAGTGACCATCTGCAAGGCCACAGGATGTGTCAGGGTAGTAACTGCTCGGTTCAGAGTCAGCAGAGACACCTGGGAATTTAAGGGCTGATGGCCTTGGTTCCCACAGACAAGGTTGAGGTTGCTCTGCATCATCTCCTGCAGCTTTACTGAAACCCCAGGTTCCTCAATCCTTGAAGAAAACATAGTCTCTGGGCCCCTGGGCACCTCTGGCACTTGAAATCCCTGCCTTAGCATGAGGTATTCAGCCCAGAAATCATGGATGCTGGCTGCACCAGTTGACTGGGCAGCTGACTGGGTTAAGGATTTCTGTGACACTGTGAGGGTTGCAGATGGAAGTGAAAGGTCTTTGGAGTGTGGGCCATGCTCCAGACTCTGTTCAAAAGACACTTTAGACGTGGACAAAACCTCTAGGCAAGAGGAGCCCTGCGATGGCCCCCCTGAAGTGGGGGAGATCAGAGTGTTCTCACCCACCACCAGCTGCTGAATCTCCAGAGCCACAGCGTTGCAGGTTTCGCAGCAGGGATCTGCACACAGGATCTGCCGCACGCTTCCCTCCTGAGGAAGCCAGCCCTGGCTGGGAAGGGAAACATGGCAACCGTTTGTTACTGATGGAATGACATCTGCCTCTTTTCAAGGGTGTGGCCTGGAGATTGACACTGCTCCCCTTAGCCCTGTAAACTCTGAGGCCTGCATCCACTGGGTGTTTACTCATCTACTTTTCTTCCCAGGGAAATGTCACTTGGCAAGTTATGGTGTGCTGGACTGAGAGCCTGGGGCTTGTTGGGCAAAGTCTCAGACAACTGAAGGGAACGCAGGGCCTTGAGAGCCTGGGAGGTGGGTGAGTTCTCTGCTGACCTGTGCTGAGTAGCTGAACTAGGAGAAGGCAACCAGGCAGATGGGGGAGCCAATGGTTAGCTGATGGCGCAGCACCAGGAACATCACCAGATAGAACCTGGAGTCAGCCTCGTTTGGGGCTACGGAGGTCCTTGTGGGAACTCTGCATTCTGGGGATTACAGGGCATACACAACATCTCTTGGAAGACAATCCCTATTCTCTAGAGATCTCAAGAGGGGGACAATATGACAAGCTCCTGCCTGAGGGCTGTCCCAGGAACTGGCCTCCCTGAAGACAAAACCAGAGGAGGTACGTCAGCAGGGTCCAGGGGTCTGCCCTTGAAAGGGTCTAGCTGTAAAGAGAATATGAAAATGATGACTGATTTATGCACTTAATTAATTATCTATCCTCCTAACTTGTCTTGTGGTTGAGTGAAAACCCATGTAGTTTTAATCCTGCACTAGTCAAATCCTGAATTCCAGGACCTTTGTGAGCCTAGCCCAGAGCAGAACTGCAGGACTCCTGTCTCCTGAGACATCTGATCCCACCCTCTCCTCTGGGAACCCCCAACCAGTGTCCAGGCTCCACTGTGTCTGGCTACGTCCCAGCCATTATGCTCCTCCCCAACCCTGCCCCAGGCCAAGCGGAGAAATGATCACAGGCCAGGCTGGGAGTTGGGAGACTGCAAAGAGCAAGAGATCACCTTCTCATGACAGAGAGCAGCTCCCACGGCTTCTCAGCTTCTTCCCGGGAAAATCTCCTAGCTGAGAAACCAGGAGACAGTGTTACATGGAACAGGAGAGGATTCAGGGACATCCTACAGGAAGCTGGAGACCTTTGGATGACAGGAGACGGCAAACCCCAATAGCCAGTGCTCTGAGGCACGTCTGCCTACAACTTAACCAGGTATGATGTGCTCTCCTGGACCTAATCTCCTTTGACCTTCACAACCACACTGTGAGTGAGACAGCATCATCATGCCCATTTTATAGATAACAAGACTGAGAGCTGAAGTGACATCCACTGGGTCATAAAACTAGTAAATGACACAGTTAAGGACAGAGCCCTTACTTCCTCACTCCCCTACTTCCTCTTCACTCCCAGGGGTAAGGTGGAGAATTCTGGAACATTCCCAGGCTCTGATTTCCCACCCAAAAAAGTCTTCTGGGAGAATCTGTCAACTTGGGGAAATTGGGCCTTCAGTGGTTAGAGCACCTGGTGCCTGGCACCAGGGGTCATTGAGGGACAGGGTTCATGGGAGCTTCACCCGCAGTAGAGAGAAGTCAGAGCAGAGACTGGGACATTACCTCTTGATGCTGCATCTCTAGCCCTTTGTCTGACTTTTCGGTGACGCTTAAAGACAAAAGAGTTAGAGTATGAAGTTGGGACACCATTTTCTTTTTCATGTCCAAACTGAGACAAAGCTAATATACAGTTCCCAATCCCTTGTAATTTATCTGTATTTTATTAACTTTCCTAACTTTCCATACTCTATTTTTTCACCCCAATATTTCCCTTCTCTTCTTACTTCTGATTCATTTTGAGGTTCTTTCATCCTCAATACCTCCCATTTTTTTCCTAAGAGAAGTTGGGTATCATGCTTATGATGAAACAAGAGAAAAGGTGGAACAGAATAAAAGGTGTGTAGGTCTAATAATCAAAGAACTTCAATTTACAAATGCCTTAATGGAACACAAACTAGAAAAATCTCCCATAATGGGAGGTCTTCTAAGATCCAGTGAGGCACATTCCATTTCATCCAAGTCTCAACCCAAGTCAGAGAGAGACGTTCTTGAGTTTTCAATTAGAATACATTGCAGGGATAGCCTGGTAAGAAATTATTTGTAGGCTCTGAGAAGGGAAATACCTTATAAGAGTAACTAACGGATGGTAAAAAAAAAAAAATCAAGGGGAGGGAGGGGAAAAGGAAGGATAAAAGGAGAGACACTGAGAGCTTAAAAGCTTCTTATCTGAGGCTTAATTAGTTCAGTCATGGTCATAGTGTTTCCCTACCTGGCAGCAGCTCCTTTGATGTTCCGATGTTAATCCATGGTAACGCTTTTTCACTTGCCAGACAATTAGGATAATAATGAAGATGGAGCCATAGGTATATAAGGGAAACCCCAAATCCCACAGAACAAAAGTCGGGCTCAACATGATCTAAACCTCATTAGCACAAGGAGACCAACCATCCCTATATGTAGGCATTCAGAGTCCTGGCGCCTAGTGACTTCCAATGCTACACTTTGTTGTCTCCGCCTCACAGACAACGGAACCAGGCCACCAGACTGCATCACAAAGCTCTCCTGTTTCACAAGGCAGCTGTGGTGTCAAAGACCTCTACCTGTCTAGAGAAGTGAATGTGGTGATTCCGTTTGCAGATGAGGGTGTCTGCTTGTCTGCAAGGACTGAAGGTGCCTCTCACAGTCACTGTCTGTTCTCCCACTTTGTCTCCACTCTCCACACCCTCCACCAGCCTGATGGCCAGAGTCTGGTTATGGCGTGGAAATGGAGAGCTTTGATGTTACAGGCAGTGGATGATGGGAAATCAGAGGTGCATGAAGGGACCACGGCAAGGCCACGGTGGTAGCATCTTTAAATGATGTTGTGGGAGTCAGAAAGGAATGCCTCCCAGACTGTGTGGCCTCAAGCTTGCAGATGAGTGAGAAGAGACTGTAAACACTGCCTTCCATTGAGACTCATTAATGAGACTTCCTTACACAGCTCTTTTTTTTTTTTGAATTTTATTTATTTATTTATTTTTACAGCAGATTCTTTTTTTTTAAATTTATTTAGTTATATTTATTTTTGGCTATGTTGGGTCTTCGTTGCTGCACGTGGGCTTTTCTCTAGTTACGGTGAGCAGGGGCTCCTCTTCGTTGTGGTGCGTGGGCTTCGCACTGTGGTGGTTTCTCTTGTTGCCGAGCACGGGCTCTAGGTGCCCGGGCTTCAGGAGTTGTGGCTCATGGGCTCTGGAGCGCAGGCTCAGTAGTTGTGGCACACAGGCTTAGCTGCTCCGCAGCATGTGGGATCTTCCCGGACCAGGGCTCGAACCCGTGTCCCCTGCTTTGGCAGGCGGATTCTCAACCACTGCACCCCTAGAGGAGTCCCCGCAGGTGTCTTCATTGGTTATTTCTACCAAACATTGGAAGAAATAATACCAATTCTCCACAAACTCTTTTGTAAAATTGAAGAGGAGGGACTGTTTCCCAACCTGTTCCATAAGGCCAGCACTACCTTGATGCCAAAACCAGACAGAGACATTACAAGGAAAAAAAAAAAAAAGTACAAATATTCCTCATAAGCATAGATGCAAATCTAAGCAAAATTTTACAAATTGAAACAAAAAATTATGAAGAGGATAATAAACCATGACCATGTGGGGTTATCACAGGAATGCAAGGTTGGTTTAACATTTGAAAATCATCATACTGATGTAATTCATCATATTAACAAACTAAAAAGAAACAATATGATCATTTCAACAGTGTAGAAAAAACGTTTGACAAAATCCAACATGCATTCCTAATTTTTTACATCTCAGCAAACTAGGAAAGGAATTCCTCCACCTGATAAAGGAAATCTAAGAAAATCCCATTGCTAAGGTCATACTTAATGGTGACAGACTAGATCAGTGGTCCCCACCTTTTGGGCAGCAGGGACTGGTTTCGTGGAAGATAATTTTTCCACGGACGGGGTGGGGGGGGGGATGGTTCACGTGGTGATGAGAGCAATGTGGAGCGATGGAGAGCGGCAGATGAAGCTTCGCTCACTCCCCCACCGCTCGCCTCCTGCTGTGCAGCCCAGTTCCCAGTTCCCCTGGACTAGATGCTTATCCTCTAAGATTAGGAACAATACAAGGATATCTACTTTTAGAACTTCTATTCAACATTGTACTGAAGGTCCTAGCAAACGCTATGAAGTAAGGAAAAGAAATGAAACGCATCCAGGTTGGAAAGAAAGAAGGAAAACTGCCTTTATTCACAAATGACATGATTGTCTACACAGAAAATCCTGTGGAATCTGAAAAAAAAAAGCTATTAGAACTATAAGTGAATTTAGCAAGGTTGTATGATATAAAGCTGATATACAGATACAACTGTATTTCTGTATACTGGTAATGAACAGATAGAAATTGAAATTTGAAAAAATCAATACCATTGAAAATATCATAAAGACATGAAATAGGGATAAATCTAGCAAAAATGTAAGAACAATGCACTGCATCTTTAAAACACTGCTGAGAGAAATTAAAGAACTCAAAAAATAGATATAACTTGTCCATGAGTCAGAAGACTCAATATTATTATGATGTCACCTCTCTCTAATTGATTTAGATATAAAAGTCAGTCCCAATAAAAATCCCAGCAATTTTTTGAGAAATTGACAAGCTCATTCTAAAATTCATGTGGAAATACACAGAACTCAGAATAGTCAAAACAACTTTACAAAAGAACAAAGTTTGAGGATTAATACTAAGTGTTATATACTAAGTCACCTATTATAAAGCTACAGCAATCAAGACAGTGTGGTATTGGCATAAAAATAGACAAACGGATCAATGGAACAGAATAGAGAATCTAAACATAGACTAACTCATGTACAGACAGATGATTTTCAACAAAGGAGTAAAGTCTTTTCAACAAATGGTGCTGGAATAATTGGTTATCAATATCCAAGAAAATGAATTTCAATCCTCACTTCACAATATATACAAAAACGTATTCAAACTGGATCATAGGGCTTCCCTGGTGGCTCAGTGGTTGAGAGTCCGCCTGCCTATGCAGGGGACACGGATTCGTGTCCCGGTCCGGGAAGATCCCACATGCCGCGGAGCGGCTGGGCCCGTGAGCCATGGCCGCTGAGCCTGCGCGTCCGGAGCCTGTGCTCCGCAACGCGAGAGGCCACAACAGTGAGAGGCCTGCGTACCACAAAAAAAAAAAAAAAAATTATCACAGATTGAATGCAAAGCCTAAAAGTATAAAATTTATATAAGAAAACCCATGAACATGAGTTAAGCAAAGATTTCTTAGACATAACTTCAAAAGTATGACCCATACAAGACAAAATGGATAATAAATTGTACTTCATCAAAAATTTAAAATGGCTGCCCTCTGAAAGATAATGTTAAGAGAATGAGAATGTAAGTTATATAGTGGGAGAAAAATATCTGCATATCATATACCTGGGAAATGACTCATATCCAGAATATATAAAGAACTCTCAAGACTCAACAATAAGAAAGCAAACAACCCAATTTTAAAAAGAGGAAAAAATTTTAACACACTTCACCACAGAACTGGTAAGGCACAGGAATGCTGTGTCCAAGGCCTTTGCCATAACTGCAGTGCATACATCAAGAGTCCTGGAATTTATCAGAGCTTCCCCACTTCCTGTCTCTATTAAATTGCTTCATAACAAATTAACCCAAAACTTAGCCAGTTACAATAATACATATTTATCATCTCATGGTATCTGTGGGTCAAGAATCCAGACACAGCTTACCTGGATCTTCTGCCTCATGGCCAAAATCAAAGTGTCAGCCCAGGTTCTGCAATCTCGTCCAAAGTTTCAAGTGGGGATCTGCTTACAAGTTCACTCAGTGGTTGTTGGCATAATTCAGTTCCTCAGACTCTTCTGGACTGAGAGCTTCTTTTCCTCACTGGTTGTTTGTCACAAGCCACCCTCAGTGCCTTGCCATGTGGGCCTCTCCAACATGGCAGCTTACTTCATAAAAGCATGCACACCAAGAAGGCAATAGAGAGTTGGCTAACAAGATAGAAGTAACCTAATCATGGAAGGTGATACCCCTCAGTGTTGCCATAATCTATTGGCCAAAAGCAAGGTACTGCAGAGGAGGAGGTTATACAATGCCATGAGAATCAGGAGGCAGAGCTCAATGGGAGTCATCTCAGAGGCTGCCCACCACACTGGCCTCAGAAAATGCAGTTCTCTGGGTCAGTTTATTTATTTATTTTTATTGTATAATCTCATTTATATGAAATGTACAGAAAGGCAAATTTAAACATACAGTAAGTAGATCAGTAGTTGTCTGGGGTTGGGGTGGGAACAAAAAAACTGGGCTTGAGGAGAACTTCTGGGGTGACAGAAATGTTTTAAAACTGGACTGTGGTTGCATAACTACATATCTACTAAAAATCAGTGAACTGTACATTCAGAATGGAGGAATTTTATGGTAAGTTATATATCAATAAAGCTGAAAAAAATGTGAAGTTATTGCTGTACTACAACAGATGTGTCAAGGACGCCACAGCAAAGGAGAAAAGGGCAACCAACCAACTTTGCCTGTGTAAGTGGGGCAGAAGCCAAGGACAGAGAGGGACAGCAAGGCAGAAAGGAATACACAGATTTATTTCCTCAACAAATATCTATTGTCTACTCTGTTCTAGGTGCCTGAGAACAGATCAGGAGCAAAGCCTACACCTGTAAAACTCCTATGCTAAAGGGGAGATAGGAAATAAACAATAACGAATATAATAAACAAGTTAAATGCATAGTATGTATAGACAATATTTGAATTTAATATTAAATGATGAGATTCCTCAGGCACAAGGGCAAGGGCAGGTACAGGACGTAGGATGTGCCACAGAAGAACTAGGGTATGTGGTTCCACTGTGTTCAGTGAGCCCTATGACTGGGGGTGTACAGAAAAATAACCAAAGATGTCAACAAAAAGGTCAAAGTAGGAATCAAAAGTGACGGTCACTTTCATTTAATTATTCTGCACCACACAGGTATTTTCATTGGTACAGATGAAACTGAGATTAGGGCATTTGCCTGGCAAAATGATAGTAACAGTATGTACTGAAGATGGTCTTTATTGGACTAACAGTGCCTGGCATGTAGTAAATGCTCTAAAAATGCTTGCCATTATGTTTATTATTAATATTATGGTGTCATAGTGCCTAAATTATTAAATTTTATAGTCTACCCAGAAAGCTATACAAAATGAATCAAGAAGAGATATAAAAAAAGATTTGCCTCCTTCTCTTTCAAAATGATCCTTGCAGGAACAATACACAGAAGTGTATTTCTAATCCTTAGGGCATGGGTTCATGGCACTGCGGTTCTCTCTTCCAGAAATACCTTTATAGCCCTTCCTTGAATTTATGGACAGTTTTAAAAATTACCTAAAGCTTTCTTTCTTAGGCCACCAACTCAGTGCAGACAAAGGGAAAGTCCATCAGTAACAGAATACTCCACAGAGGTTATTATGAAGATTGAGTTAATATATGTATGCACTAAAGGGTTAACTCAGGAGGCCTGGGTTGCCCAAACCCTGAACATCTCAAAGATCTTCAGGACTGGCCCTTGACTGGCTCCTGAGATATCCTCTGAGCCCTTGGAATATCCTGCTAGTACAGCATATTTGTATGCCATTCTTTGGGCCACACTGTATCAGCCTGACCAGACAGATTATGCTAACAACGTGACTTACAGTGAATGATTCTGTAGGCCTGAAGTCCTTGGTTTGACCTCTGGGAGTGCTGGAGATTGAGTAGCTAAGAGCAGCCACATGGACACTGCATATCCATGTGACTGACCCCCAAGAAAACCCTGGACACCAAGACTCAGGAGTTTCCCAGTTTCCCTGGTTTGCAACATTTTGTCACTGGGAGAGTTAAGTGCATCCCCATGCAACTTCGCTGGGAAGGGACATCTGGAAGCTTGTGCCTGGTTTCTCCTGGACTTCACCCC